GCTTTGGGCGAGGTGGGGGGGGGGAGCTTTTGTTTGCAGGGGGGTTTTGTTGGCGGCGGTTCCCACAGGCCCTGCCTGGGCGGCGGGACCCGCTGCCTTTGCCCAGCTGTGGCCCGGGCCCTCCAGCTGTGTTGATCTAACTCCCGGCCCCAGACAGCCTGGCGCCAGCCCTGCGCACGTCATGCATTCACACAGGGATGCGTGGCCAAGGCAACCTTCCCCCCCCTCCCATCGCCCCCCCCTTACCACCACACACCGCCACGGCCACGCCGAGCGTGGCTTTGAAAAATTAATTTATTTTTTTTTAGGAAAGGGGGGGGCTGTTACAAAAGTGGGGTACCCCGAGCCTGCGAGGGAGAGCGTCGCCCCAGCTTTGGGGCACCTCTTGGGGGGTTCAAATTGGAGGGGGGGGGTAAGGGGGGTGTTTTACGCTTTTTGGGGTGCCGTCCGGCTGTCGGGGCTGGGTTTGGGGGGGCTGGGTTTGGGGGGGGAAGCGGATTTTTTTGGCACGGAGGAGGGAAAAGGGGGGAGGAAGGGAACGCGAATGCTCCGGAGCGCGATGATTTCATGGTGAAAAGGGCCCACACTGGGTGTTTTATTAAAAGAAAAAAATAAAAGGAGGAGGAGGAGCAGGAGCTGGGATTTACCCTTCTCAGCGAACCCCCCCAAAACAACGCAAAGCCTCCCCATGTCCCCCGGGGGGGGGTCACCGTGTCGTCCCCCCGTTACGGCTCAGCCGTCGCTCCCCACAGCCTTTCCCCCCTTTCCCGGGGACAGGTCGTTAATCCCGTACGATTTGCCCACGCTGCAAATATCTGCGGAGGTCCCCGTGGCTCAACACCCTCGGGGGGGGGGGGTTACAAGCAGCCGCCCCCCCCCAAAAAAAAAAAAAATCCACCCCTCGGGCTTGGGTTTGGTTTGATATATTTATTTTTTTTTCCTTAAATAAGTCGGTACAGGTGGCAGGATGTGAAGGACGTAAAGCCGAGTGGAAAGGGCCGGATTCAGCCCGGCTGCCGCAGGGCAGGGAGGGCGAGCATGGGGGTCCCGGTGTTCCCGGGGGGGACAGCGTCGGCGTTTTTGGGGGAATTTCTTGTGTTTTGGAAGCCAGAGGCTGCCTGGAAGCGCTGGCTGCGGGGAAGGGATTTGGACGGGAGAGGGGAGGAACGGAGACGTGGCAGAGCGCCCAAGGCAGCTACAAAGGGAAGGGCTCTTCCCCACGGGTCATCTGGATTCGCTTTCGGGATAGGGCTGGGGTATAAATCCCATCTCCCTGGGATCTTCGGAGACCCTCCGGATCCTTTGGGAGCGAGGGAAGCTGGGGGACCTGGTCGGCCGTGCTCCGGCTCGGCACAACGTGGGAGTGAGAGCTCAGAGCGACTGCTTTAATTCATCGATTTTTGGAGATGCTTCAAGCCAACCACCCAGCCTGGGCACCCACCCGGCATGGCACGGCACAGCACGGCGGTGACCGAGGGAGTTTCGGTGCTGGAGAAGAGATCTGGATGGATGCTCAAGGGGAAAAAGGGATTCTGGCTTCTTAAACCAGCTCTGAAATCTCCTTCCCACCTTGTCCCCAGGGCCGTATCCAGCACAGGGAGGCAGCCAGTGCCACGCTGGGCTGTGCCACGCGGTGAGGTTTGGTAACCGTGCTCCTCCCCAGGGTGCCGGCTCTCCCTGCGCCCCAATTTGCGCCAGGGCCGAGCGCTCCCAACCGGGCATCGGGTCCGGGATGGGCAGGGACAGGCAGGGATGGGCGTCGTGGTCTCGCTCTGGTTGTTGGTCACACGGAGGACATGCCGAAAAGTCCCAGCGTGGTTTGGCAAACCCGGCCTCCCTCGGGGTCCCCGTGGCTGCGGTGACAGCTCCGTCCTGGGCTACGATGTCCCGGATTTGGGGTGTTTGGGGATAAATGGGGATTATAAACTGGAGCTGCCAGACTTGGATGGATATCCATCAGCGACATGAGGCTGACGGCAGCCCACGCAGGAAGGAGCCCAGCCCCAGCCACTCACCTTGCCCCCTGCCTCAGTTTACCCCTTCACCCACCGCAGGGACCCACCGCGAGAGCCAGACAGCACCAGAGGCTCCGGTCTGTGCCATGCGCGGAGCCAGATGTGCAGGGAAATGGAGAGGAAAACTGGGGGGAACCAAGGAGCAGCACTGCTGGGAGCAGGCACCCAAAAAGGGGCAGCGAGCCCCCCCCCGCCAAGCCTGTCACTAGGAGACCGGATCCAGCCCTGGGGAATGTGCAGCTGTTTGTGCAGGGGATTAGCCCCAGGGACCCCCTCGGCCCCCCGTGCCCAAGGCAGGGACTGAGCGTCCAGTCCCACAGCCGCTCAGGGTGAGCCCAGCCCAGCTGAGCCTGCAAGCAGCGTCCAGCATTGCGGGCTAAAGGGCACTCCCTGCTTGTTATCATTAGGGGCCAGAGTGAACAAAAGGCTTGTTCCAGAGCACCTGGGGGAGGGAGAGAAGCATACGCATCCCTCCAGAAGGGGTGGTCCATGACCCCAGCCTTGGCCAGCTGCCCAGCCTGATCAGTAGCCAGCAGCCGTGCCTCAGTTTCCCCAGATCCCCTCCTCCCTTCCAAGGCCTGGCCAGGAGCAGGGCCATGGCGCCAGCTCCGGCCCCCGCAGCACCGGCAGGACCAGAGGGAACCGTGGCTTCCTCCGGGGAAGCAGAGCTGCTTCTCCAGGTCAAACCCTGGGTACCCCCCAAACCCCTCGGAGCAGAGAGGCCGGCAGACTGGGAGCATCCCCGGCTGGTACCCGGCGGCAGGGGGAGGCAGCGGGGCCGGGGGGGTCCCGCAGGCCTGGGGGGCG